CTGTGCTGGCTTCTGCTGGCATACTGCGGCCAGCCGCTCACAGCCCGGTCCTCAGTAGCTGGGGCGGGGGCAGGTAGGGGTGGGGGTCTGACTCTAGCTGGTGGACTGTGAGAAGGGGCCTGACAGCAGCTGTGGGTTCATTTCAGGGTGGGGGAAGCTTCACGGAACAGATGACGTCCACCTGAGGTGCCGACAGGTGGGGAGGGGCCGAGAGACTGTGCCACCTCAGATCTGGGGAGAAGCCCAAGCTGGCAGGGAACGGGGATGAGTGGCCCATGGGGAATGGGTGGGAAGAGGCTGCTAGGCCCGCCAGGGTTGCTGAGGAATTGTGTGAACCCCCTGCCCCATTTCTCCCTCACGGCTGGGAACCTCAGAGCCAAGCTGGTCTCTCCACGTCGCCTGAAGGGGAAGGAGAGGCGTCCACTCTCCTCGCCGGGGCAGTGAGGCCACCACCCACACAGTTGGCAAGCTTTGCCCAACGACCAAGCCACCACATCTGGGGAATGTCCGCAGAGGCCCAGGAAGGTGAACCAGGTGGGTGGGTGGGACGACAAACAGACGGGCTCTGGCGCCAAACTGGCATAGGCCGACCCTGGCCGGGGTGTGAAGACCTACGCGCAGTGACGGTTCCTTCTCTGCCCAGGAGAAATCCTCCTCCAGGCCCTGCTCTGTGGCTGCCCCCTGTCACCTGCGGGCCTGGCCATGGCTCGCCCTGGCTCTCCTGCAGGGCCCAGCCCTGCCTCCCCGGCCAGCTGTGGACCTTTGTGGGCCCTCCCCAAACTCGGCCTTAAAAAGTGGGCACATGAGCTGGTGACCCTGGGTAGATCTTTGTAGAGCAGGTCACACCAGTGAACACACGTGTGTTGGTCTGTCACTGTAAGAGTCCGCTGGGCTGCCTGTTCCCTGCAAGTCCCTGCCTGGCACAGGCCTGGGCTGTGAAGATCTGGGTTAATTGCCCACCAGGCAGGATTTTCCTAACTTCCTGACAGGAGACAGGGCTGCCCTGAGTTCACTGTGGGGCTGCTGATGTGCTCAGATGCTGTCCCCAAGGGGCCCCTTGCAAGGCCTGCCAGGTGCACCCTCTGAGTTCCGCGAGAAAGAACCCTGCCAACCGCAATGCCGCAAGAAGGGGGAAGGAGGCCGGAGTGCCGCGTGGTGAGCTCGTGGAAAACACAAGAGTACAGTTCATGTCACAAAACACTGTTCCAGGCCGGGTTGTCTCCCTGGAAGGGGAGTGCAGGGTGGGCAGGGTGCTGTGGGGTGCCGAGTGGCTTTGCAGGCCGGGGCTGGGTGCAGAGCCTCTGCTTTCTCGCTGACCTTGTTCGAGTGAGGAATCGGGACTAGACGGGCTTTGTAAAAGGTAACGTCACACGCAGATGTGAGCGGTGGGCCACTTAAGAGTTTCTCTGGAGACATGACACCCCCTTCGAAACAACACTCCCACTGGGCTACTGCTGGGGACACAGGCGAGTAAGACACTCAGACTGACCTCAGGGGGCACAAAGCCTGGAGGGGCAGCTGCGACAGCGGGCTAAGCGCAGCGCCGTCCCTGGGAGCCGGGGTCCCAGCCAGGAGGAAGGACTGCCCGAAAGAGGGCTCGGAGAGCCTCCTGGCCATGGTGACATCCATGCGGGGTTCTGAAGGATGAAGAGGGATCCATCAGGTGTCTGAAGGGTGGGGAAGGAGTGTTCTAGAAGGCATATATGACACTGGCAAAGGCATGGAGGGTAAGACACTGCATTGTTCAACATTCCCAATCCAGAAACCTCGGAGCACCCGAGGAAGAGTCCACACTTGATGCGAGGTGAGGATGGCTGCATCGTCCCCAGGCAGCGGTGGCCTCGTAGCTGGGCCTGCACCACTAACTGTGGCTCTGGGGTGCTCAGGCAGTGTCCAGAGGACCTGTCCCTGCCCTGCAGGAGGTTGGGACCTAAGAGCTTACGATATTGATGCTCTTTCCCAGACTTGAAGGAGGTTTAAATATTGTCCCCCTGACTCTTTTCCTGAAGACTGGACACGCTTTGCTGCCTTGGGCAAAAGGGGGTGAAGTAGCTGGTCCTGTCCATGCAGGAAGGTGCAGCCTGCCCAGGGCCTCTTCTACGCCCAGGCTCAGTCTGAGCCTACGAGATAGAACACACAGCGTTTCACCGCGTGCTGGAATACGGCACCCGGGAGAGTCTGCCCAGCCCGAGGTGCCAGCAGGAACAGAGATTCCCCAAACTGAGGCACGGGTGCTGCTGGAAGCTTCCCGCTCACACCCGTCAGAGCAGAGGTGGGGAGGGGGCGGTGGAGTTGCAGTGGGACACCCACAGTGGGGAGGAACAACGTCCTCTCACAGTGAGAACTGGAGGGACTGGGGATGATGATTTGTAGCTTCTGGGGACAGATGGGGGTGGCTTCTGTCTCTGAGTCCCCAGCTCCCCAGGAGGGGCCCTGATGGAGTTGTAACCGTGGCGATCAGAGGCTGCATTACAGCTGACAGGTAGACACACCAGGGACTCAGGTCCCTGAGGTTGGGATTCTGCTGTGGGCAGATGCAAGGCCACTCTCTCGGTGTCCTGACCTTGCAGTAAGCCACAGCAGGAGGGGGCGTCTGTGGCCCTTTGAAGTCTGTCACCTCCTTGGAGAGGATAGGGCCATCAGTCTCCAACAGGCCACACAGACCTGGGTTTGCTTCCCAGCTGTCTACTTACCAGCTGGGGGACACTGAGCAGCCTGAGCTTCCACTTTGGCACTGACAATATCTAATGGCACTAATGAGGCTGTCGGGCAGGGTAAGGTCCAGTACGTGAACAGACTTCCTGGAGGATCGGGGGCAGAAACAGTGTGGCTGTCTTAGTCATAAATCCCTGGTCCAACCCCTTCATCATGACAGGGGTGGAAGCTGAGGCCTGGCCAGGGGTGGGGACGCCTGTGTCCCACGACCTTCAGGCAAGCAGCAGGCTTTGCCCACGTGGTCCCTCTGCACACAGTGGGGCTTTGGACACTTGGTGTCCAACAGCCATGCAAACAGCCCTCCCAGAACTGAGCCGGTTCCTGCTAGAAGGAGAGTGGCTGTCAGGAAGGGCCCCAGGGCTGGCCTCTGGGCTGGCCTGGGCCACAAGCACAGCTGTCGGGCAGCACCTCGCTCCTGCCCTCCCTTCCGCTTGAACAGCGGGCGCTGGGGACAGGCCCCCATGCCAGGTTCTCACCAGCTCTTCCAGCAGAGCCTGGCCCGGGGCACAGCTCCTGTCACTTAGGCTTGACTTTGACACACGTTCCCCTGGTGCCAGAATTGAAAATAGGCATCGGGATCAACCTCGGGACCGAGTGCACTTCCCGTAAAACAATTCATTATGCACTTAGAAGGTGAGCTGTTTTTATGGCTTCATAAACACAGATGAGCCTCTGCTGCCCGATAGAAGACAGTGCGAGACTGAAGCCGGCTCATTGTCTTGGAAAAGCCCAAACTGCTTACTCGAGACAGAGCGGCTTTGGTCTCGGGTCGGGCAGCAGTGCCAGGGAAGCCACGGGCGGGCAGGCAAGAGCTTCTGGGATGGACAGGGAAACACAAACGCATCGTTACATCATTAGATGCTTCACGTTCGCATGTGTCGCTGGTAGAAGTACAGGGACCTGGACCCGCAGAGTCTGTGGGCTGTAACGAGGACAGTGGGCCCGAGAGGACTGACATAGGAAAATAAGTGCAGACAGCGACAGGGTCAGACGAGCCATGGCACACAGGGCCAACCACCCCCGAGCACAGTGGGTTTGAGGGACGGACACCAGGACACACGCCTGCTGGGTGGAGTGCCTGTGGGCCAAGTCTCCGGGCGGTCTGGGATGAGGGTGCACCTCGCTCAGCTTCAGGCCCCAGGGTGGGGATCCCTAAGGCTGCAGTTGGGCACTCCAGGCCTGAGTGTGTCTGGGCAGGTGTGGATGGCAGGGTGGCCCTCCTGCCCCGCAACAGTGCTGCCAACAGGCCAGTGAAGTGGGCTTGGGGCAGGTCTCAGATGCCCAGGGTTTATTCAGCCTGGGGACTTGGCCTGCAGTGGGCTCCCGTCTCTATCCTTCCACCCTGCTCTTGGGTTTCCTGTTGGTGCCAGCTCCCAGCCCAGCTCTGGTCTGACTCTCTAGCTTGGAGGGTGGGTCCCCCTGCTAGAGTTCACACAGCCAGCATGGTGGCCGTTCTGAACCATGTTCTCGGGACCCTGACTTCCTCCTCGGTAGTGGCCCCCATTTCTGTACACCTGCTCTGGCCCCTGGCTCCCAGCAGGCCATCTCAAGCTCCTTAGGATGGCACCCTTGGCCTGGATATGTCCCTCTGTGGGGCTGTGCTTGGGACAGCAGTCAGACCCATGTCTGGTGGTGGAGGCCTGGAGGAGCACTCACACTTCTGGGGAGCACTCACCAGGCAGGAAGAGGAAGGGCCCGGAAGCACAGTCAAACTCTATACTCCTGCCACCACTGTGGGACCCTCCGGTCTCCCAGTCAGCAACATGGCTTCCAGAACCCAGGGAAAGTGGCTCACTCCCCAGGCTAGGCCTCTCAGTTTACAGCTGTGGTCACTGGCTGTGTCTGCTCTCAGGTTGGCATGACCTTGGCAGACCTGGCTCCAAGGCTCTTGTGGCTAAGGGAGCCTCCAGCGCTCCCCTGGGGCATGCACGGGTCCCTATCCTGCTGCGTCTGTGGGCCGTACCCAGGGAGGAGGCCCAGTGTGGCAGCTGTGTCCCTGCTGTGTGGGGCCCTGGCTTTCCTCACCCAGGCACCGACCACCTGCAGCCTCCACCAGACTCCATACCCAACTCTGGCTTCTACCAGACGGTTAAAAAGAATGTCCTTGCCCGACAATGGCTGTGTGGCGGAGATGACATCGAGAACCCTGAGAGTGCAGGGAGGCGCTGGCTTTGGTAAGTGACTTGGAGCCACAGGAAACGGGGCCCTGGCCTGTGTCAAGCACCCCGGTCACCCACTCGGGGACCACGGTGTGAGAGCCCCGGCAGGGTGGCGGCAGTACTCACGTTGATCATAGCATTTGACGTGATGCGGAAGAGCGTGGCCCGCTCGTTCACCGCCTTTAGCTTCTCACTGCTCTCGGGCGGGATCTTGAGGCCGTCCAGCTCATTTAGGGAGCGCTGCAGCGCGGCCCCGTGCTTGGCGATGAGGTCATTGCACGTGCCGAGGTCGTCTAGCTTCAAGGAGAGGTTCTTCAGGGTTTGGTGTAGCTCACTCTTGTCAGCTGGAGAGGCAGTGTCCTCGTCGTCCCCAGAGTCATCTGTGGAGGGGAACAGAGTTCGTGGCTGTTACCAACTGACACCGCACAGAGAGGCCTGTGTGGCCTGTGCCGAGTAGGGCAGGTGGCACCACTCGAAAAAGATCAGTTCCCTGGATGGCACCCGTTCTGCTCCTGGCCAGGCTCTGGCAGGTGGGGTGGGCGCAGGCCCACCTGCGTCTGTGGGACGGGGTGTTGCGGGCGGACCAGCTTGAACGACAGGGCCTGGACCGGGCTGTGGAGGGTGCAGGCCTGCAGGCATCCGCCTGTGTGCAGGGAACCAGCTCCCTGAAGTTGAGGCCTGCAGGAAACGGTGGCCTGTGCTGGGGAGACGGATGGAGATTGCTCCCCGGGATGGGGCCTGGGCCCCTTTCCTGGCATCGCAGGCCCACCCTAAGCCGACCAGCTTCCCTCCAGCCAACTTTATTTGCTCTCCACTCCGTGCCCACCCCCCAGCTGCACCAGACAGCCCTCTGTTCCCCGCAGACACTGTATGTTGCTGTTTGGGGCCTTTCCCACATATCCCCACGGCCTGGAACCTCCTTACCCCTCCCCAGCTCTTCAGAGGTCTCACCCAGCCTGCCCCTTTGAGGCCCGCTCAATGCCATCCTCTCTCCAAACTCTGCCAAAAGACCCCATGTCACAATAGAAGTCCCCTCTCTCTGCCTTCCCCCATCTGCCCTGCAGGAGCACGACCCTCTCACATATGCAAGGCCTCCCATCTGCAGATGCTGGCTGTGGCCTCTGAACAGCCTAGTTAGGGCAGGGACTGTACCATCCATAGGGGACAGATGAAATTGAGGCTCCAAGAGGTACAGTCACATCCAGCTGCCTGGCAGCCACACTTCCCGCCAGGCTGCTGGGGCCGCCATGAGAGGGGCCAGGTAGCGACCTCTCTTCCCATTCGCGCCCTCCTCTCACCGCTCACGTGGCTCTGTAGAGGCCCTTCGTGCTCCCTTTCCTGCCAGCCCAGCCTGTGTCCAGGGGGCGAGGGGTTATGGGGGCCTCTGAGGGGCACACCATGGCAGGTGGGGTGGGGGGCAGCTGGCGTGGGGCCCTGCTGCTGCCTTAACGCTGGGCACAGGACAGCCAAGAAGCTGAAACCACCTGTGAGCACCAGATGCTATAACTGCCAAGGGGTTTCTGAAATGTCTTGTTTCAGAAATAATCAGCAAAAACACTTTAGATGAAGAAAATCTGTAACCCAAGATATAATATTTTTTAGAAAAAGAATGCATATAGTGAGAGAATGTTTCTTCCCACGGTGGGCAAGGTGCGTGGGGGTGGATACAGCTGAGTCACTGTTCCCAGTGTGCCCTCGGCCCATGGCAGGGTCAGGCCGGCCAGCGCATGGGGCCCGAGCCGGGGGCAGCTGAGGGGGAATCCAGTGTACACCTTGTCCCCACTGGCCACAGGGGCAGGGAGCCTCCCCCGAGCCAGCCCAACTGCAGCCCCGAAATGGCCCAGTGTCTGGAGACCACACGTGCTGGGCCACCCTCTCCGCAGGTGAGAAAATACAGCTTGTGAGAGGCCAAGCTGCCAGTGTAGGGGCCAGAGCAGGGACCCGAGTCCAGGTCCGTCTGCCACAGCATGTCCCCTCTCTGGACTGCCGCGGAAAGGCCCCAGCAGCTGCCGTGGACTGCACGTTTTTGCGTGCCAGGCCTCGGGCGAGGCGCTGCCTTGGTTAATGCACTCGACGACCCCGTGAGGTAGGTTTAGGGGCAGGATGGTGCACTGAAATTGCCCAGGGCCACAAGGGGAGGGGACTCTGGAGCATCCAGGTCTGTCTGGCTTCGGAGCCTGGACTGTTAAAACGTCCTGTCACTGAGGTGCGCGTCACCTTCCCAGGTTCAATATGCGTAAGAGCCAGACGGCCCTCTACAGCAGGAGGCCTCGCGGGGTGCGCCGGCTGCGGGTCAGTCTGAGGGGGACCCTGTTCTCTAAGCAAGAGCTGGTGAGAGGCGCAAGTAGCCCAACACTGAGCGCCCTCCCGTGTGGTGGGTAGAAGCAGGTAACCACATTTCTACTTAAGTTGGTATTAAACAGGGCACTTTAGGAAGCAGCTCTTAAGGTCCAGATTCTGGCCCCCAGGGACACAGGGATGGCCTGTTCTGGCCTGAAGTTGCTGGCTGTGTTGCTAGGGGCAGGATGGGAGGACCCCTGGGTCAGTGGTTATGGGCCAGCGCAGTCTGTTCTGCAGAGATGGGCAGGGAGAGTCCCACCTAGAGGGACAGTGACATCAGGAGGATGAGGGAGGGTGGGGCAAGGGGGGAGGGGGTGTGAACGATTGAATGAACGAATGCTTTGGGGCGCATCACCTAGGAAGCCTGTCTAGGCCTGTAGGTTCCCGGCATGCCTGGGTTGGCATGTCACATGCAGGAGGGCAGGAGCTGAAGGAAGTGGGGGCAGGTGTGGGGCATGGAGGAGCAGGGTGGGGAGGGGGGATGGTCAGGGGCCCCAGGCGTAGGCCAAGGAGCCTGGCCCTCGTCCCCTGGCAGAAGGGAGTGTGTGGCGGTTGACACACGGGAAAGACGAGACTGGTGGCAGGTGGCAGCATGGGCAGATGTAGGGGCACAGGGGCCAGCGGGGGGTGGGCTCGGGCAGGAAGGACCCCTGCCCCCTGCGCAGGCACACTGACGGTCACTCTCACCCAGCTCCAATGCTGTGAACGACGGTCACAGCCACATTCCCATGCGTCACCACACACCCACCGCCCCTCAAGGAGTGGGTGGCATCACCCGCCTCCCTTGTTCCCGCAGCAACACACGGCTGCTCGGACGCGCATTGAGCACGAGGGTGGGAGCCTGACTCCAGGCCAGGTGGAGGCAGAGCCCAGCAACGAAGGGGACGCCGCCTCCGAAACGCGAACTTGGCCACGCTGAGCCCTGAAGTTTGCAGTTTGGGGTGAGAGGCCCTCGCACGGAGCACGCCCATGTTGGAAAGTCAGGTGAAACTCAAGATTAGAGGCACAGATAAAAACTATTTAACGTGACATTCCTCAAATTAAAGAAGCGATGATATTAACTTATGCTTTGTGAAGGATAAACTGGCAGATACCGATCAAGAGTCACGAAAACGATTCCTTGGCTTCCACTGCCCACTTCTTCCCCGACGGGGACTCTGCCGATGGGACTTACGCAAAGGAAAGACACCACGGTGTGCACAAAGCTACCTAGGGCTGCAGTTCTGCCGCTTATAGCCGTGGGGGTCCTCCAGCGTTTATGACCTATGACCCCCGCCACTTTCCACTGGGATAAAACTCGGGGACAAGGAATGCCCGAGAGGAAGATGGGCGTCCGGCCGCTACAAAAGGAGCATCCTGGCAACAGCAACGCTGGCTTTCGGCGGCCACTCATGGGGCTGCGGTGACAAAGCAGCCCTCCCAGCCCCAGGGGCGCAGACTGCGGCAGGAAGTGGGGGCTGCCGGGCTGCCCTGGGTGGCACAAAAACTGAGGAGGTCGGAGGCGACAGGCTAGAAAGCCCAAGTCCCCTGTCGACGTCTAGCCCTGCTGCTTCTGGGCAGCAGTCCCCTCCAAGCCTTGGTTCCTCACGTGCGCGGCAAAGACACCAGTGCCCACCTCAGCCGTGGGGAAGGACCTGGGGCCGGGTGCCCCGTCGGGTGGAATTACTACGACCACCGGTGGCCTGTGCCAGCTGAACTCAGCGCCTCTCCGTTACCTCCCAGAAAACGCCAGTCCTTTGAAGAGACAATTGAAGTGGGAGTGTCCCTGAGCACTGACTGGGAGGGTGAAAGGTGTCATCACCCAGGACACGTGCGGGATGGGGCCTGGCCTGGCCAAGTGTCAGGTGGAGACTGAAAGAATCAGCCGATCCCTACAGGTGGCGCCTCCGCAACAGACCCCAGGAGTTAGGCCAGGAGTGGGAGCCGGACCGGGCACTTTGCTCAACTGCTGAGGGTGGGAGGGTGGCGGGCTGGGTGGGGAGACGGCCCCAGGCCCCCAGCAGCCTCCCCTGCCTGTCCCTCAGAAAATATTCCTGGTCCTCTCCTGAGCCCCCCCCAACCCCCATGGAATGGCGTGGAACGAGGGTGAAGGGCCCTGCTCTGGGGCCCAGGCTGGGTGTGAGCCCAGGCCACCCTCCCCGGCATCCTCAACAGACTGCCCAGTCCCTCCTTAACTCACTCCCGTCCTCAGGTGAGCTCTGGGCTACGGGGAGTAGTCACACCTCTCTTGGTGACCTACAGGAACCCACACACGATGAACACAAGGCTGGGTGTGGCCCTGGGCCGTGCAGGAAGCTGCCTCTGTTCCACTCACCCACTCGGGGGAGGGAGCGCCCAGGTCACTTACGCTCCGGCCTGCGGGAGCAGGTTTTGGTTTCCTGGCCTTGGAGTCGCCTGTTTTCTGGGCTTCTCCTTCTTCAGTATCTGTGACTTTGAAACATTTTTTTTTTCCTATTGCCTTATCTCTGTTCAGATCAACTGCTAGAGCGTATGGGGAGACAGACTCTGGCCCTCGGATAAGGGACAGCTTTCTAACAGTGCGGGTGGCCCAGCGGGACACGGCTGCTCCCATCACGGAGGTGGAGGAGCAGAGTCATGGCCTTCTGCAGCAGCAGCACCCTGGTCCCCTTCTCCTCCCGTTTTCTTCACTGGCGCTGTCGGCAGAGTCAAGGGTGGCACCTGGTAGCAAGAGCATCCTAGGCTGTCAGGCGACGCTCACTCATGGAATGGCCAGGCTGAATCCCGGAGGGCAGACTGGCCCCGAGCTCCCTCCAGAGCACGGACAAGCCAGGTCATGCCCCTATCATGCAGGCCCACATCTTCACTTTCAGATGGGAAAACTGAGGCCCGGGGGGAGGAGAGGGGCTTGGCCGAGGTCGGATGTTGGGGTAGCCACAGTGGCAGAGGTAACTAGCCCCTTCTGAGCCCCTGCTCTGACAGAGGTAGCCCAGACCTTGAGCCGGGCTCTTCCCAAGTGGCTAAGATGCATTTGCTGAGGGCTCAGAGCCTGGGTCCCAGGGCAGACGATCCCAAAGTCCTG